TCGACTCGGCTCCTTCACAGCCCTTGCTTGGATGCATCACTTTTAGACTATCACAAATAAAATATCAGTACCGCTAGCTACTAAAAATAATATAAATAGCAAAAAAAATACACTTTGTGGCATTTATTATTAAAAACGTATTAAAAAACAATATTTAATTAGAAGAAACTCTTATAAGTATTCGGTTAAAAAGTTGGACCGAATTTTCCTTACTCATGGCATATTTAATAGTTGTAATATTAAAAAGTTTGGGTCTCGCAAAGAGACTCAACGAACGAAGCGAAGTAAAATGAATTAATGTGCCATTAACAATTAATCATACTCTATAATTATAAAATATCAAGTTGTTGTTTCTCAATTTTTTCAGTATGTTTCAAACTTAGTTCCCTATTCAATTAAAAATTACATTTATTTCTTCCAATTCCATCTATCCAGTCAGTTTTCCTTAAAGAACAATAAATATTTAACATTTTTATGGGTCTGTACAATAATTTTGACTCTGTATGTTTCTTCTTCTTCTTCTTCTTGTTTTTTTTTTCTTGGTGAATTGAAGATAATTAATGATAAATTAAATTAGACAAATTTAGATATATTTTGAAAGTAATATACGTATAGCAATGCAAATACATTTCAACAATTTTTTGGGTGGTTTTATTTTAAAATATAAAAGAAAATAATTTCCTATATAATGAAATTAAATGTATACCTATACTAATTAGTATATGTAGAAAACAGTTGAGAAAATAGTTTATAAAAAATATAATAGATAAATTAATTGTATTTTGTTAAAGATCATTTGCATGATATATTAAGTATAAAGTATTGGTAAGATTTATGGCATTTCATACCCAATAAATAAATCAAATATTTTTCATTTAAATATAATTTTGATATGAAATATGACATTCATGGAATATCTATGTTAATAATATATGATTTTTTTTTTAACAAAAAAATGTTACAGAAATTATGATAGCAGATGAAACCTTCTAAAATTTGAAATTTAAATCTTGAATTTGTAATCTTAGAGATTCTAATTTAAGAAAAAAAAAATTAAATTCTGAAAACTTCTCAAAAACTTCAATTAATAATTTTAATTATAATGGCACCCTCTTCATTAAGACACTTTTGTTTATATTTTGATAATTTTTCTAATAGATATCATATAATAGGTTTGATAAGATAAAATTTATTTATGTGATAAATAATGATTTAATGTAATTTTATTTTAATTTATAATGTACTAGTACAACACCCGTGTATTACACGGGTGCTTGCTAATTTTTTTCTTAAAATTTAAAATTAATGAGAAAAAGTAGTTTGAAAATTTAAATACCTTTTATAAGAATATATATATTATATATTATTATATATTTATTATGATATTTTTTATTTGTGCGACTTACTTGTGTTATATTATACTAATTTTTTAACTTACACTATATAACTACATTAAATATAAATATATTAATTGAGAAATAATTTTATTTTTTTGATGAATTTTAATAAATATTATTATTTTTTATTATTAGAAAGATAAATATAATTTATTTATTTTATATATATAATATGGATATCAAATCGAAGATCATCAAAAGATGATTAATTTGATATATTATATATGTAAAACCGAGAAGAAATACAAAAGTTATCTACTTTTAAAATACATTTATAATTCAATAGCTTATTGAAGGAAGCAAATCAAAATTTAGGGATATATTAATCATTTAGTGTCTCACTATGTAAAATTACAAATAATTAAAGGGTTATATTAGTAAAAGTGATTAAAATACCTAAGTTGGCTAAATAATATTTATGGAATACCCGTACCTAGATTATTAATTATTAATATATTAATATTATTTGTCCAAACCTAATTACGAAGCATGATTCTTCGCCAAATAGAATTCCGAAGCACCAGAAGCAGCCACGTAGGCTCAGCGCATTTTGTAATTAAGGGAGGATTATATTAGTAAAATTATTAATTTTTAAATATATTAAAATTTTTAGTTAATTAAATTACTACAAACCTACCATTGGTGCAGTCTTACCTGCCGTCCCAAACTCCGAGTGGGCTGAAAAGATACAGAGAGGAAGAGCTCATCATCTTACGAGGCGACGGCCAAGGCGAGCGCCAGACCTCCGACAGGATTTACGACTACGATGTGTACAATGATCTCGGAGATCCCGACGCCGACGATGACCTGGCACGCCCCGTCCTCGGCGGCCCCGACCATCCTTACCCTCGCCGCATCAGGACTGGCCGCCCAAGAACCGAGAAAGGTGATAATTATACATGTGTGTGTGTGTGTGTCTGCGTTTCTCTCTGTGTGTGTGTGTGTGTGGGCGGACACTTTTAATTGTGCTCACAAACTGTTTGTCAAAATGCTGAGCTGATGATCCTTCTTGTTCTTGACATGATCTTGTCACAATGTGTTGTGCATTTTGTTCAAATTTTTCATGAATCACGAATCTTTAATGTAGAGTAACACAAAAGATGACATAGGCTTCAATTAACATAATGCGCAAGTTTCGTTCTCGATATTTTACATGTGACATTACATGAGCAAAGATGGTTTTTGATGCATGTATAGTATCATGTCCTTTGTCTTTTATTTTACCTAAGATAAGATTATATGGATGGAACGAGTATGAGTAGAAAAAAATGATATATTCTAGTGTCTGATATGATATGACAGTTAGATATGAAAAGGTGATATGATATTTAAATAGTTAAATGATGGTTTCATATGATTCGCATTTCTTTAGAATTTTGTGATGCTATATGTTTATATTAAACTGGTGATAACGTAAAAAATGAGACTATTCAAATGGGATAGAGAAAGTGTATCGTGAGTGAGTCATCCTTGAAGTCACGTAGGAAGTGTGTAATAAGGTTCCTTAATTTGTTGGACATTACACAAACCACTCGGTCATAAAAATAATGAGGCTGAATGACAGAATGAGTTGTGTGTGTTCTCGAAATCTCTGTAGCTAATCACCTTACATGATTAGAAGGTTATCTAGAACAAAGGAACTACTTTTTCTTTATATGCCGACTAATTCTAGATTAATCTGAAATTTAGATCCCTTATCCGAGTCAAGGAGCTCCGACTTGTACGTGCCTAGAGACGAAGCATTTTCTGAAGTAAAGCAGGCAACATTCTCGGCCAAAACCCTGTCTTCAGTGCTCCATGCGCTCGTCCCATCAGTTAGGACTTCCATCATAGACAGCGACCTTGGATTCCCGCACTTCACCTCCATAGACACTTTATTCAATGAAGGTTTCTTGCTTCCGGATATTCCAACTACAGGGCTTCTCGGGAATGCCATACCCAGGCTCGTGAGGTTTGTCAGGAACACCAAAAATAGCGTCCTGCATTTTGAGACGCCTCAGTTGATCGACAGTAATTCCACAAACTCGACCTCTTTTAATTTTAGTTTTGTTTGTATCATTTGGTTATAGTTGTCTGTGTGGTAATTTATTTTTTAGATGTTGCATGGGGAAATGTGCAGCTCGGTAATGTGTTGCTTATTGCAGGAGATAGGTTCGCTTGGTTCAGGGATGCTGAATTCGCAAGACAAACTCTAGCGGGTGTCAATCCATTGTCCATCAAGTTAGTCACGGTATGATTTTATCCCAAAGGCCAGTTATTATCAAGTGCTTTCCGAATTAAGAGTCATCATGTGTTCTTGTCGATGTTCATTTTACTTTTCTTCTTCACTTTCTTGATCATCAACACAAAATCCCATGCTTAATGTATAATAGGTTTCCTTTTTTTAATACAGAAATCCCCAATATCCTTAAAATAAACATAACTCATTGATCATAGTTTGTGTTTCATGAATTTCACTCTCAGGAGGAGAATATCGATTATGAAAATGGAGATGTTAATGGAATGCTGTTATGCTAATAAGGCTATTCATCTTAAATATTATTATTTTTTTTTTTTATCGTTAAATGTAACATCTTAAATATTTTTTACTTCTACTGTAATTTGGTCATACTCTGAACTAGTTTTTGTCCTATTCCTACTAAATGCTTAAAATTTAAGAAAAAGGGCATGTCATAGGGGCTTAATGGTAAATTTGTCAAATGTTTTTACAGGACTGGCCACTGAAAAGTGATCTCGACCCGGAGATTTATGGGCCTTCTGAGTCGGCAATCACAACAGGGTTGGTAGAGAAAGAAATCGGAGGCTACATGACAGTGGATGAGGTAAAACCTTAATGAGAAGCTAGACATGATTACATGAAACATGTTCATGATCTAATCCCCTTTCTTTCTTTCTTTCTTTTTTTTTTTCTTTTTTTTTTTTTAAATTTCCGTAGGCATTGAAGCAGAAGAAGCTGTTCATTTTAGATTACCACGACATTTTCTTGCCTTACGTGAACAAGGTAAGGGAACTCGACGGGACCACTTTTTATGGGTCAAGGACATTATTTTTCTTGATGCCTGCGGGGACATTGAGGCCCCTGGCTATTGAGCTAACAAGACCGCCCGTTGATGGGAAGCCCCAGTGGAAGGAGGTCTACCAGCCATGTTGGAGCCCAACTGATATCTGGTTGTGGAGGCTGGCTAAGGCTCATGTCCTGGCTCACGACTCTGGTTATCATGAGTTAGTTAGTCATTGGTGAGTTCTATTTTTCTTATATTCGCATTTTTTTTTCCATCTCTTTGAGACATTTATGCAGAAATGTAGATTGTTTTACATCTGAAGCTTTAGTTTAAAATTGTAAGGGGGTGTTGTTTTCTGGTTTTCATAGAAATTATTTTGTGGCTTTAGAATTATAACGTACCCCTCCCATTGGATCTTTTCTGATTAAGGGAAGCAGGATTAGAAGGTGAAATTGTCATTTTGCAAACCCTGTAATGTGATTTTATTCTATCTGAAAAGACGAGAATCATTTTCGTTTTATCTATTTTAATATATTCATCATTTGTGTGTTTGTGTGATTGCAAACACTCCATAAGGCCAAAGGCAAGAAGTAGTTGAATCACTTGCTTTAGTATTCTCCAAAACTTTTGCTGCAAATCTATGATTATTTGTTTGGCTAACATTAAGATGTCATTATAAGAGATGGCCATCAGATTGTTGCTGAGGTTTATCCAGAGTCACGGAGACTCGTGAACTCAAGCTTGTGGAAACACACACAATTATGCTTTTTTTTTGTCCCGACAATTGTGATCCCCATTATGTATTTTGCAGGCTACAGACTCATTGTTGCGCAGAGCCTTACGTTATCGCGACAAATAGGCAACTGAGTGCAGTGCACCCAATTTACAGATTATTGGATCCTCACTTACGGTACACGTTGGAGATTAATGCTCTGGCACGTGGGGCCCTTATCAATGGTAATGGTATCATCGAGTCCTCATTCTCCCCGGGTAAGTACTCCATGGAGTTGAGCTCCGTTGCCTATGACAACCTATGGCAGTTTGACCTACAGGCACTACCGGCAGATTTAATCAACAGGTAAACTATTTAATAGGGATAGTCATGTTTTCTAGGCAACCCCTCATGTAGGACAGTCTCCCAAAACTAAATTTTGTA